AAAAAATGTCTTGAAGATAAAAAATTTACATTAGATACTTGCAAAACATTAAAATAAATGCCTACTCCTTGATATCAGTTTAAACAATAATGAACATTGATATAAAAACAACAACAAAAAATTACAGAATCTCAAATGTCCATCTGTGTTGACTAAAGTTATAAAGGACATCAATCAGAAGGAGTATGATTTGAGGCAATTGAAAGTTACCATTTTGTGAAATTAACAGAGCAAGAATTCCAAAAATTCTAATACGACAAAGTAATTGATTCAGCGGTACGTACCTATGCAATAAATTCATTATATTGAAAATGACGTAACGAAAGTGACGCAGTACTTTATAAACAAGTACTCAATTAGACGAAAGCCGAAATAGTTACAAAGACAAAGAACGAACTGAGGGTGGTGAAAAATAAACTCAACAATGCTCAGAAGAATGAAATTTTAAACGTGAAATTGTTAGCATTATAAACAACGCGCGGAATTGTGTTTCATACGCTCGATCCAGTGCTGTCGCGGCGATAGTTTGATTACAAATATATTTTTCTTTTGGACTATATCAACATAATATAACATTTCAAGATCACAAATCTGTGGTCATGTGTTTGAAAAATTAAAAAGGGCATCGAGTATTTTTATTTGAAGTAATATAGTAATATAGAAGTAGTTTTTTAACAAGCTGTAAACACTCCAAGCGACGCACTGGCTACGACCTTGTGGACCAGATCAAAGCGTCCCCGCTACTCGCCGTAAAACACACCTTGCTTCAACTGGGGAATTGCATCCGTAAGATATTTTTCCGCCCAGTGAATTTATAAAAGACTAAAAAAATAACGCAATAAAATCACCAACCAAACATGAAATGGTTCTAAACTTTCAATTGAAATTAATGTCAATTATTGTCAATGACTATTAAAAAAACGCGTTCCATTAACCACATCCAAAAACCAAAGAGATCGTCTTTTGACTTTCTATAATCGCTACAATTTATACTCCTTCAAAGATCCCGTAATAAGTCAAAACGCCATCTAATCTTTATCTTTTTGATAAATTGTACACGATAAAATCGAAAAAACTACCCTAGTAGGTCATGTATTGTAAATTTTGAGGATGATGTCATCGCATTGGTGGTGGGGATGATCAGACAACTTTTGGTCAGCGTTTTATCATCTACACGATATCCCTAAGACACATGTACAAAATTTGACAACAATGGATCCGGTAGTTTAGAAAATTATCTGTCTAATAAAAATCGGCACAGACGCGGACAGACGACAGACCGCAGACAGACAGACGGAAACGAGAGACCTATATTTCCGTATTCTAGAGGTCATGAAACGTCGAGAAAACATAAAATTAATGAGTCGCCCGATGGACTCGAATACAATAATAATTCGTTAGCTTAGGTTCGGGAACTAAAAAGATGAAAAATTTGCCGCTGTTGTCAGATTCTTTCGAAACAATTTCCAACTTTTTTGTATTATATAAAATGAAGAAAACGATGGGAAAAAGACCCGATAGTTCCAAAATCATTTTAAATAATAAACGTCCGACCGACTTCATGGGGTTTAAAAAGGCTAAAATCGCAAAAACCAGTATTTTCGTGGATGCCTTATGCTCAACACTAGATAGTAGTAAAATACGGTGAAATAACGAAAAGAAAAATTAAAATTTGAACACCTGTCTGCGACATTTGGGACAAAGATTTTTAAAATTATTACTTCCCGAGCGTAAGCAAAGGAAGTATTGTAATCGAATCCGTCGGCCGACTCTGTACTTTTATTTTTTCCTTGCTCTGTAAATAATTCTTAACGATGTGTCAGAATTAGTGCGCCATTTTTTTTACTTCCTGGGCGTAACAAAAAGGAAGTATTGTAATCGAGTCCTTCGACCGACTCTCTACTTTTACGTTCTCTCGACCTTTCATGACCCCTACAGTACGAAGAAATAGGTCTCCCGTGTCCGTCTATCTGTATATCCGTCTGTCCGTCTGTCCGTTTGTCCGTCTGTCTCCCGTCACTGATTTTTATTACATAGATAATCTCCGAAAATACTTGGCCGATTGTTGTCAAATTTTGTATTTATATTAAGAATATCATGTAGATGGTAAAACGCTAACCAGCATTTGTCTAATCATCCCCACCAATAGTAATATGATGAGTGATGACGTCACTTCAAAATTGCACATAGTAAATGAGTTTTAAATTGTATAAAATAACATAGTCCTACACATGTAGTTTATGACGCAGTGTTGAGTTTTTACCGGAAACATCCAGATTTTTGGAAAAAAAAATCAAAATTATAAAACATTTTGCAATTTAATTTTGAATCTGCAAAACCGAATAGATATCATAACCATGGTAAATTTTTGACCAAAATATATTTGCTCATCCCCCCTAAAAAACTGATGACGTATTGCTGAGTAAATCTAACCTTAAATGTGCAAAATATGATGATTGTATGGTTACTAGTGATTTATCACTGCATTAATATTTTTTGTATTTGCTTATACACGTTGTCTCAAAAAAATTAATCAATTTATTTTCTTGATTAAATCAAGAATTGGAAAACTGAGTACTTTGAAATCTTGCAGACGTTTTAAAGTTATTGTGAGGATGGTAAATTGTTAATCAAAATATATATCTATTTATAAACCCCAAAAAATTGATGACGTCACCTCCTAAATCCCATCTAAAATGTGCAAAATATAATCAGTCTATACTTGTAATTTATCATTTCATTAATATTTTTTAGATTTGCTTATACAAAAACAGATACTTTTTGAAGCTTTGGCCAATAAAATAACTGAAAACATGTTTATGTATTTTTTATGTATTTATATATTTTATGAATTTTTTAAAATTAACAACATTTCTAACGTATTGTCACCTAAATTATTTCTTCTTGGTGTCAGAATTTGGTTTCCGCTACTAAACACCCGTTCCACAGGTGCAGAAGAAGGGATTGTGGTATTAAGTTTAAAAAATAAACATTTTACTGTAGCATACTTATTCAAGACTGAAAAATCTTTTCTTTTTTCCTGCAAATAGGCCATCGCCTCGCTGTTTGATGTGCCGCAAATTGTGCAATATTTATTACGTACGCTTAAAAAAATATTTTTTTTATTTTTATTCCCATACTACAGTGTCCAAATTGTGTTTGAGTATATCTAATAATTATTATCTCTAGCATTAAAATTAATATTTCAAAAGAATACGGGAAATGATTATTCTGTGCTGAAGGTCTGTTGTCGGCAACCTGTCATAAATTATTATTCTTCAAGATCGGCTTACGATGTTTTTATGACCATGTCCGGTAATCGTCTATCCCGGTGCGGCAGGTATATACATTTTAGGAAGAATTACTGGTTCCGTTTAAGGCAAAATAAGTACAATTTCTTGGAAAGGTATTTAAACCCCTTATAGGATCAAAGGCTGCCTGGCAGGCCGGAATCACTAGAGTGCAACTTTAAATTTTCAGATTTTTGTTGAAACTCATTTTATTTTAATCTCGTTTCACGATTTCTGAGAATATATCACGATAAATTATTCTACCGAGGGTTGTAAAAATATTAATTTTATTGCCCAAGATTTACACTTAAACATAATCGGCACATTCTAGGGCAAAACGGACCTGCCAAGCCCGCCTCGCGTTAGGTCCAACAATGAAAAAGTGAAGAAATGACACATGTGGCAACAGCAAAAGATGCTACATTTGTCTGAAAAATAAAGATATGAAACAGTAACAAATATGCAATTTATGCGAGAGAAATGTATGTATTGAACATTCGATTAGTCGACTACAGAACTAATTTGTGCTAACTGAAAAAATTAATCATTATGTAACATGCAATTATTATTTTCTAAAAATAATAACATACCTTAAACAAATATTTTTACTATTAAAATTACTCTTATTTAATAACACAAATATACAACCAGCGGGCCTACCGGACCCGGGTTGCTCAGGTATACAGATAAAATGCATTGTCCCGATAAGCGTAAAAGGCAGTAAATAGTGAATTATGGTTTATGGTTTTTAAAATACCATCTTACCATGGCTTAGATTTATTACCCCTCAGGATTATATTTAAAGATGTATAAGTACTGAAGGCTACAATGTAGGAAATGATGGTATTTAAAATATGAAAATTTCCGTGACAGAACACTATTAGTGGACCTCTTACCTCAATTTTTGTTTATGTGACCAACATCACCAACATGAAGTATCAAAAATTACTACTAGTATAACTCAACTAATAACTACTGAAAAAAAAGTGAAATAAAAAAATGTATCTGCATCTGCGCCATTAATTTTGTATCTAGATACAGATACTAGATACCCAAAAATGTATCTAGATACTTTATTTAGATACAAGTATCTAGATACTGCCCAATACTGAGCCTAAATTTGAAGATCCGACTAACCGTTCCCGAGATATTCAAGTGATTCCATACTTTTTAGCAACTCTGTATACAAAATTAAGTAAAATAATAAGTAGTATTATAATTCTTGTTTTGCATAAAACTGTCTCTGATTTCAAATTTTAGAATACAAAAACATTGGCTACTGCATGATTGCTGACAGAGAATTTAAAGTTGGCTTAATACAAGTCCGTTGGACTCCAATTAAAAAACCGTTTACTGAGCTTTGAGAGTTTGTAGCTTGCGTCTGATCCAAATACCAACTAACTTTGTTTTTAAACCATAGAAAATTAGTTCTTACCAGTTTCGCGCCACATTCGTACATCATTTAAATCTCATACCAACTGAAGGGTTCATTTCCTTTCATTCCCCGAAATTAGTATGAGCGAATATGTAAGAAATGAAAAAACTAATTTATTTGCTTCAATTCCAACAAACGTGTTTTTGATTTAATTAAACAATGCCTGTTTTAATATTAGAACCGGCATTGTTTAATAATCTGGGGGAAATCTCGCGTAACAGTTGGTTGCATAGTTACACAAACCAAACAATGACACCGATTTGCGCATGCGTTCCCTCTTTGTCTAAGCCCAAACGTCACATCTGAAAACAAGAGAGGTGATTTCGCGTCGCCATATTAAAAAAAACAAATTGCATTTTATGGCTAAAGTAAAGTGAATTAAAATAAACAAATCAAAATGGAAGAAACCGACGTGCCCATGGAGTACGATGGTGCAGACGTAGACGGTGTGGCTCAAGAGGAGTTCGAGGAGGATGGCGGCTTCGAAAACGACATTGAACTAGGAGACGACTTCCAACTGCGCGGACGAGGACGTACAGGGTTCAGGTATTCAAAACTTAACCACAAACACTTCTCCTAACTAGGTGTATGTATTTTAGGGGGCGCGGACAGCCCCGTGCGTGGCCAGGCCCACCCGGCCCCCCCGGCCCTCGTGGCGAAGTCCCTCCGAGGTTCCGAGGAAGAGGCTTCGGCCCCGGGGGCCCTCCTCCGTTCCGCGGCCGCGGGGGGCCGCCGCCTCCCATGTTCGGGAGAGGCGGACCCCCTAGGAATCCTCCTCCGGGCCCTGGCGGATTTAATGGACCCCCTAATTTCAACGGACCTAACTGGGGAGGGCCGATGGGACCTCCAGGTACGATGGGTGGACCTCCGAACTTGATGGGACCTGGACCTAACGGACCGCCGTTTGGACCACCTGGAATGATGGGCGGACCTCCTAATATGAACAATGGGCCGCCAGCGATGGTCACTCAAGGCGGTGCCACTACCAATGGGCCTGGGCAGTTTACACCCGTTTCACAAAATCCTACTACAGTAAGTTTCATTGTCGTAGTTATTATCACAAATGATGGAAAAGTTAAGGCAGAAATATGAAATGGTGAAATATCTCGAAAAGCATTTTTTTCTGTTTAACATAAATGAAGTATAGATCGCGCTTGAGAGAGTCAGTGAAATGCAATTCTTTATAGCATTTTTTTTTTTTTTAATGAACATTCTTGTAGTGATTTTTAAGGTGACGTCATCCGCTTCTGGTGGGGATGACTTTGAGTGTCCTAATAGTAGCATCTTATCAAAATTTCAGACCAAATTTTTGGTTAGAATTTTACTGTATTTATGATAATCTTAACGTACAAAAATATTCAGTCAGCAAGGTAGCTCCCGAGTTAATTTATCTGGTAATTTTCCGACAGATAAGCAGAGATAGATTGCCTTGCGAGAAATTCCATAGAGATGTAGACGCAAAAATTTTATTAAAAAAAAATGGGCGAAGGTTACTTCGACGGAACTTCCCTCGCCCCGGAAGTACAGCCCAACAATTGTCGCTTCTTTGAAATACAAAAAAAAAGTGCGATTTTTGTTCCTGATAAGCTCTATAAAGTAAAAACCAGTGGCGTAAATAACACGTTTTAAAATTTCTCAAGTTTTCAATTTTTCGATTCTTTAATTTTTCATTTCTTCAAATTTTCGATTTGCAATTTTTCGTTTCGGGATTTTATTTTCATTAATTTTACAATTTTTCGATTTATCAATGTTCCGACTTTATAATTTTTTGCTTTTTCAATTGTTCGATTTTTTGTTTCTTCAGTGTTACGATTTTCCAATAATTGAATCAGACAAAAGCATGGTTCAATCGTTACATTTTCCAATTTTTCGATTTACAATTTCACGAGTTTATAGTTTTTAATTTTTTATGTCAATTTTTCGTTTAGGATTTTCGATGTTCTTGTTTTATAATTTTTCTTTTTTTCAATGGGAAATTATTCAGTGTTTGGGTTTTTTCGGTTCGCAGTTTTTGGTTTTCAATTCTTAGATTTTTTAATTCTTCGTTTTTTCAATTGTCGATTTTTCAGTCTCTTTATTTTTCAATTTTTGCAATTTTTCTAGTTTTCATTTTAAATATGTAATAATTATCTTTTTAAAAAAAATTCACTTTATCAATCTTTCATTGTTACAGTTTTTGGGATTTCCAGTTGTGCGATTCGATTCATTTTTCTTCTTTCTGATTTTTCAAATCATTAACTTTTTTTTGAATGTTTAATTTTTCAATGTTTCAATTTTTCGTTTCTTCAGTTCTAGGATTTGCAATTTTTCGCTTTTCCACTTTTCGATATTGTAGTTTCTCATTTTTAGTTTTTCCACTTTTCAATTTTTTCCAATTTTTGTAATCAAAAAATTAGAAACATTGCATAATTGTAAAATTGAAAAATCAAACATGAAATTACGAAAAATTATAAAATGACAACTTTGAAAAATTTAAAAACTGGAAATCAAGAACTTGAAAAATTGAAAGATGAAAAATTGAGAAACTTCAAAATCGAAAAAACAATTGTAAAATACAAATATTGAAAATTAAAGCAATCGGAAATCAGATAATTGATAGATCCAAAAATTGCAAAATTAAAAATTGAAAAATCGAAGATTGAAAAATTCAATAAGAAAAAAATTTATAAACTCGAAGGAAACCTTTAAAAATAAATGAAATGAAAAAATGAAAAATTGTATTATAAAGTCAAGGAAATAAAAATAAAAATTTCCCGATATTTTAATGAACAATAAAACTCAAGAACTTGAAAATTGTAATATAACGAAAAATTGCAAAACTTGCGAATCAGAAAATTGAACAAACGAAAAACTGAAAAATTTGGGAGCCGAAAAAGTTGAAAAAACTAAAAATTCTGAAACCCAAACATTGAAATAGCAAAATTGAAAAAAGTTAAGAAAATGAAAAAACGAAAAACTGTGATATCAAAAAATTGGTTGAGTGTAAATAAATCCAGATTTTTTAAAAAATTATGAGATCTTATAATTTATGATGTTTATAAGTTAAAGTAAAGATCTGTGTAATATTAAAGTAAATTTAAAGAAGCATGCTACGCATTTATTTCAAGTGAGTTTTTCATTACAAAATTTTGTGTATTATATCAATTTGGATAGATGCAGTGTAATACTAATAATAACCGTACTTACTGTATTCCCAAATTTTCGGGAAAATGGAGTAAGTCGTTCTTGATTTTATTTTAATCAATACAATAAATTGCATCATTTACTAATTTGCTAATGTAAATTTTGAGGTGACGTCATCCTGTTCTTGGTGGGGATGTTTATCCAAATTTTGCTAAGCATTTTGCCACCATCTACACAAAATTTCGAATATACATATAAAATTTGACAATAATCGGTCCAATAATTTCGAAGATTATTATTTGTCTAATAAAAATACGGACAAACAGCCGGTCGGAAACGGGAAATCTATTTTTTCGTAGTCCTAGGGTCATGAACCGTCCAGAAAACATAAAAGTAGCCAGTCGTCCAATGGACTCGGTTACAATACTTCCTTTGCTTAGACTCAAGAAGTAAAACATACAGTAAATAGAATTTTATTAATAACAATTGAACTCTTGATAATATTTTTATAAACTTCGAAACAAAAACTTGTGTTCTCATTTACATATAACTTTAAAGATTTGAAACTTATTTTTGACGAGCATTTGAGAAACTATTTTGTTATAGTTCAGGTTAAAATCATTACTGGTCTAAAGCACAGTTATTTGATCCATTTTCAACTGACGAAATGACAGTAAAGTATATAATGTACAATATTCTAGCGGATTTCAGCATCGTTATTACTAGATTTGGCTAGCAGTAATTTATTTAGTCAGGTGTTTTCCTATTTTGCTTAAAACAATTTAATTGGAAAATTTTGCACAAACGCTATTTAAATAAAATAACATTTTTATAGCTGCGGTTTATGAATCCACCTTCATTAAAATTGTACAACATCTTACAATTCTACTTGGAAACTGGAAAGTCGAATGCTCTAATAGGGGTTATCATAAAAAATTTAAATTCGCACCATTAAATTTTATTCAGTAATTTATCTAATAAACTTGTTTGTTTGATTCTGTCTAAATACGCTTGCACCAATTTTTTATTCACAGATTTGATGTAAAATTTCTTTCCAGGGATTAGATGCGAATAGTGAAATTTGGGTAGAAACTAAAACGGCAGAAGGCAAGTCTTATTTTTATAATGCTCGTACTAGAGAAACCACTTGGACTAAGCCAGAAGGTCCTAATGTAAAAGTAATCTCTCAGGATCAAGTGGAAGCAATGGCACAAGCGGCCACTACTGGTTTAGCACAAGGGACCTCCACGGCAGCCCAGGCAGCATTAGCACAAGCCAACGTTTCCAACAAGCCCGAAAGTAAGTCATGGATTTCATCAAATTTCATCAAATCCCGACTTAATAACCTTTATGATTTAGTCGAGACTGAAGAAAACAAAACAGACACAAAGCAACCAACAGCCGCTAACCCTATGCAACCAAACATGCTCGCGGGGCCCCCGCCAGGTATGCCCCCGTTCGGAGGCCCCCCAGGTCAGTTCGGAGCTCCGCCGTTCGGTTTGCCTCCGCCGGGATTCCAAGGGACGTGGCCAGGACCCGGACAAGCGCCGGCTTGGGCTGGAGGACCGCCAGGCGCTGCTCCTTGGGGTATGCCGCCAGGTCTTCTTACAGGTTTGACAGGAGCTATGCCTGCTATTGACGAAGCCGCGGTCTTGTCTAAAGTCGACCCAGAAATTATAGCGAAAGCTACGGAGTGGAGCGAACACAAGTCGCCCGATGGAAGATTTTACTATTACAATGCCAAAAAGGGAGAGTCCGTGTGGGAGAAGCCACACGCCCTTAAAGATCTAGAAAGTAAGTCGGTTTGATTTTTTCCTCTTTTTTTACGTTATATATTAAAAATATAGGAAAAAACTTGTTGGCGCCCTTCAAGATTTGTCAGTATCACCCTTGGTTTTTTTTTTCAGCTGCAAAGTTAGCAGCAGCGCAAGGAATATCCACGAGGCCCGGGAGCGAGGTCGTGATCGCAAACACCGAGACAGGTAAGCCAAATGCGGCGGCGGTACAAGTCGCCAATGGAGAAACCGTGAAGGACATTACTCCCAAAGACGAAGAAGACAAAATAAAGAAGTTACAAGAAGAAAACAGAAAAAAGAAAGATGAAGAAGAAAAGACTAAAGAGATAAAGACTCAGGACAAATCCAGGCCGGTTTCGAGCACACCTGTTCCTGGAACTCCATGGTACAAAACACTATTCATCCATCGTTCAATGTTTTCATTGTGTGTAATTATAGGTGTGTTGTGTGGACGGGAGATGGACGGGTCTTTTTCTATAATCCATCATCCAGAACTTCCGTGTGGGAACGGCCGGATGAACTGTTAAAACGAACCGATGTCGATAAGATGGTGGCGACCCCTCCAGATGCCGTAGGAACTCCAGCCAAACAAGATATAGCGGAGAGTCCAGCTAAGAAACGAGCGTCAGAGGACAGTGACAGTGAAGAGGAAACCCCAGCCAAAAAGCCTAAGAAAGAAGAGACCACCACCAGTAAGTTTGATTTATTCTGTCAAAAGTGGGTATTTTTTAATTTGACCACACGAGCAGGTGCGAATGGTGCGACACCACAGTCGGCGAGGAAAATCGACATCGGAAAAGAAGCGGCAATCGAAGCGGAAGTTCGGGCAGCGAAGGAGCGTGCTGTAGTCCCACTGGAAAGTAGGATCAAGTCTTTTAAAGAAATGCTGGCGGAGAAACACGTTTCCGCTTTTAGTACTTGGGAGAAGGAGTTGCACAAGATCGTCTTCGATTCAAGGTATTTGTTGTTGACTTCTAAAGAACGAAAACAGGTATTCGAAAAGTACGTGAAGGAAAGAGCAGAGGAAGAGCGGAGGGAAAAGAGGAACAAGTTGAGAGAGAAGAAGGACGCGTTTAGGAAATTGCTGAGTGAATCGCATCTTCATGGAAAGTAAGTATACGTTTCGTTTATTTTTTTGCTTACTTGTAGAGAAATCATCCTAGTAGTATACATGACAAAAGTGACATATCTTGGCCACCTACACAGATCCTGTTACAAAATACCGACTGATTTTACTTGAACAAGATGAGATATTCAGATTTGAAAATGGCACAGTGTAATGACGTTACTATCGTTATTCTGAAAAATTCTCAAACTGACAGTTCTATTCAATGAAAAATCGTATAAAATTTATTAGACTATTGTAAACGTTTGTGTCAGTAACAATTTAGTGGCTTGATTTATCAAAAAAAAAATCTGTTTAACTTTAATTAATTAGTCAATATCGAGGAGGGTTACGACGGTTTTTGGAATACGCGCTCGGGCTAAACCACACCGCTACGTTCGAAAGTATCGCTAAACAGTGGCGGGGGAAAATGTGGTTTATCATCCACCATGGGTATCTTTTTTCGCCAAAATTTACGCAAAAATCGAGGGCATCTTAGATTCGGGCAATGCAGCTTAGATTCAAGCTTTTTTAGTTTAACATCAAAAATAAATGTTGCGAGCATGATCGCATTATGATGTAGTTTATGTATGCATGAACTACAAAAATGCATTGGATATGTTATATTTCTGTAACTAAATTAAAAACAATTATTAATTTCTGTTTTTACATTGGGGATTGCAACGGTAATTTGCTGCAAAAAATCAATGCTATTGTTATAGGAGGATCAAAGTTAAAAAAAAAAAACAAAAATATATAAATTTTCAACTATTAAATTTATTGACCTTTAAAATCAATAGTGAATTTATACATGCACGAGATGTATAAATTCACTGCTTTCAAAAAAGCAACGAAAAAAGTATATTGTAGAAATACCATTTAGCTTTTTTTATTTTTCCGGTTTTGCAGTTTTTTTTATTCCAAAAAAATGAAAAAAATAGCTTTATTAGCTTCACTACTTAATTAATAATTTTCTAACGTTTGGGAAATCATAATAAATGAAATAAATTCATGAGTCCCGAAAATAAATACTTCATTCCCTAGGTAAAAACGTGCTTAGAACACAAAACGCAAAAAATACTTTAAGAAAATATTATTTTGCAAGAGCAAATAAAACGTACCAAAAGTAAGAAATACTGAACTTTGCAGAGTATTTTATTTCAATTTTAAAGTAATATAAAAAATCAGATATGTAATTAAAAAAAAATTGTGGCGATTTTTTTAATTATTGAGCTTTCTGTTAATTATATCATGTTAATGAAGTGATACATACATAGAACTCATTCGTCTTTTTTTTTAAACCAAATTCTATTAACATAGGTTCATAAAGAAAAAAGTTATTGTTCTCTTTTAACTGACTCACCGTGTATATGTATTTTAAGAATATGGTGTAGATGGTAAAACGCTAACAAAAATTTGTCTAATCATCTCCACTAACAGCAGAATGACGTCATCTCCAAAATTTACAGCCGTAAATGTTGCTTAAATTGTATAAAATGACATATTCCTTCACTTGTGGTTTATGATTCCGTGTTGAGTTATTACCCTAGACATTAGATATTTGGAAAAATTATCAATATCGAATATAGTACTTACTAAGATAAGACTGATTTTGGCAAATGATACACCCTTCTATTTTCTTAGAAGTTATCATTTGCCAAAATCAGTCTTGCCTTAACAAGTACGCTTATAGGGTATGTCATTCGCCAATATCAGTCTTATCTTAGCAAGTAGACTTTGGTTGATTACATATTCTCTAAGAAAATAAAGGGTGGGTGGGCGGGGAAAATCATTGGCGCATCCAATCAACAAACCTGCGACATTTACGTCCACGTGAATCGGGAACTGACTTAAAATTTTCTATACAAAATTCTCACTTTGAATAGAAATTGGATACCAAATCTAAATTTAATCAGACTCTTTTTAAGCTTTTAAGTTGTAGTTTTTTTTTTTTTTTTTTTCGTAATTATTAACTCATTTTTAGAGGACAGAAATTTTATAAAAATAGTAGTAACCAAAAATTGTTTGAAATTAGTGGATATTTTTGCAGGGTTGCACCTACAACTTATTTCAAGGTTTCTCTCAGCGTTTTTTACAGAAAACTTAAATTTTCTGTACATGTTATTCGCTGTAAATATAGTGGTCATACAAGTTTAAGTTTGAATGGACAAATTTTAGTAACTATTTTTAGAGGGTATATGTATATATCATTTGAAAAAGCCAGTCTCATCTTAGTAAATACTAGCCCCGCCCACCCGCCCTCTGTTTTCTTAGAGGATATTTCTTTTGCCAAAATCGGTCGCATCTTACCAAGTACTAACTCTGCTCACCTGTCCTCTATTTTCTTGGGGTTGAATGGGTGGTTCCGGCGAGAGATTGGGATATTTTGACAGTTGACATGCAAGTTGGCAGCAACCTAACACTACAAAATACACTGAAATTCCTAAGCTGTCACTCACTGAAAGTTCCATTACTAAGGTTAGGCCACTTTTCTGACTCTCATCTCCAGTGCTTCTTTAAGGTACGTGTCCATTTGAGAGGGCGCTTGCGAAAAATAATCCCAAGATCAACCCGTAAGGCCATGCTCGGGTCTGCCCTCAACTGGGTAAGCGTATCGCTTGCCCAGGGTTTCTTAAGACTAAAGATGGTATAAAATCAAAACCAGAACTCTCGTGAGAGTTGCTCTCCAGTGGACACACTAATAAAGATGAATGTTCTAGTAGATAATGTAAAATCTATGTCTTATAGCGCTTAAGATTAGAATGTTTTTGAAATTTTAAATTTCGCGCGGATGGTACACTTTTCTTCGCGTAGATTTATCTGTCACTCAATCTCTCACCGTACGCAATATAACAACATTTTACAATTTAACTTTGAAATTGTAAAACCGAACAATCTGTAACCTTGCAAACCTTTTGAGGTTATCGGAGACATGGTAAATCCTTAATCAAAATTTATCCGTTTACGACCCATCCCCTCTAAAAAGTGATGACGTCATCACAAAATTTTGTCAAATAAGTGCTATCTAAAATGTGCAAAATATGATGAGTCTGTACTTGTGATTTATCATTCCATTCATATTTTTTCGATTTTAGATATTGTAATTTAACGTTGAAACTGCAAAACCCTGAAGTCTTGTAAATGTTTTAAGGTTATCATAAACATGGTATCTCCTTAATCTTTTTTTTTTTCGTTATGCCCCCTCCTCCCCAAAAAACGTTTTGCTCCATTATATGTAGCTTAATTAATTATTAGTGCTCGACTCTGTTTTGAGAAGATAAAAATCAACCAAATTTCATTTTCTTTTAACTCAAATGCCGTTGATGCTTGTTATCTGAACGTGCTAATACATAATGGAATTCTTTCGAAGTATAGACATGGACTTTAACTTTGCTTAATCCAAAAAAATTGAGAATACATTTTTTCCCGTTGGTGGTTATCTGCCTTAGATACATTATATTTCATATGGTGCCCCTTTGGAATTTGCACCCCGTCACAAAAACAAGAAAAACTATACGCGATACACTAACTCAAATTTAGCGGTTGACTGTATATGTACAGAATACCCGTTATGACAGGGCCGTATCAACTCAGGAATGGATTTCTAAAGCCTGATCTGATATGACATAACGTTACCATTGCTGATATAGAAAATTAGTGTAATGTTTTCAGACAGAACTTCCCCCGCCCCTGAAGTCCGATTAAACAAATCCATTTGTTTTTTTTTTTCGGAAAAAAATTGGACGAAGGTTATGTTGACAAAACTTTCCTCGTCCTTGAAGAATATCCAGCCAATGCCGCTTCTTTAAAAAATTATAAAATTTTATTTCGCGATTTTCGTTTTGTGATAACCTCTACAAGGTAAAAAACAGTGGCTTAAATACACCCTCGCAGCCTCTAAGCTGCGGGGGCGCAAATTTCGGGTTCGCATAATTGTGAAAAATATTTAAAACAAATAACCAACCATTCTCAATTTCTCAGTACATTTAATAGCTTCAAATGCTTATGTTTATACTTTGAAAGAATTCGACCATTAGCACATTCAGATTACAAGCATGAGCGGTTAAAAGAAAATGAAATTTGATTGATTTCATCTCCTCAACGCAGAGGAAAAGAGAACTAACTGATTAATTATTTACGCAACCACACTCAGTTTTTCCCCCCAAAAACGCTCATAAATTTGAAGAACATTTATTCGGCAAAATTGTAATAAGACCATACTTCCAGCATCCTTAAAATCTTTGACGGTTTTTGCAGTTGGAAAGTTAAATTATTGTTAAACGTAACTACACAATTTCGAATTTTTTCCCAAAAATCTGGATGTCTAGGGTAAAAAGTCAATACGGAGTCTTAAATCATATATGCAGGAGTGTGTAATTCTATAGAATTTAAGGAACATTTATTCGGCAAAATCGTAAAATCACTTTTTGTAGAAGGCGTAAACGGAAACAATTTTATTAACGATTTACCATGCTTACGATAACCTTAAATCGTTTCCAAGATTCCAGAGCATTCGGTTTTGCAGTTTCGAAGTTAAATTGTAAAATGTTATTATACAATTTTGATTTCGTTCCAAAAATCTAGATCTCTAGAGTAGTAAAGACTCAACACCGATTCATAAAGTACATAAACTACAAATGCAAGAGTGTAAGGGTATCTTATTTCATAAATTTTAAATAATATACACTATTTACTATTGTAAATTTTGGAGACGACGTCGTCCTGTTGTTAGTGGGGATGATTAGTGAAATTTTAGTTTGCGTTTTACCATCTACACAATATTCCTAATATACATATAAAATTTGACAACGATGGGTCCAGTAATTTCGGAGATGATCTGCCCAGTACAAATCCGGACAGACATCAGACGGACGGAAACGGAAGACCTATTTTTTTCGTAATCTAGGGGCATTGATCTAATAAAGGAATGGATGGAGCCTTGTATGCGTTTCCATACGCGAGTGATGTAATCAACATAAGAAAGAAATAGCTAGAGCGGTTATGCATCAGTGGGCAAAGGACGGCTGACCATGTATCACGTGCTGGGTGGCAAGAAACGCTTCATTTGAACGGGAATTAATACGTTTTCTTACGAATTTGTTCAAACAATCAATTATAACAAACGTCTGTTAATGAAAACTATATTTTTACAGTTTACATTAAAATTATGTGTAATGTGAAACCATAAAAATCATGTTAAGTAGTGGAGATAATCTTTTAATAAAATGAAATGTATACAGAATCTACAATATATTACGAATTCAGTTAGTCCAATAATCTTCTACAAGTTAACTAATCTTGTAGTGTATGTTCATTGGTAATTCTGAATTTTTTAGAATAAAAGTAATTAAACTTTCGATAAAAGTGACAGGGTGCCTAATTAAATTACACACATTAAATTGTATGAAATTTTCTAGTAAAATCTATTTTCTAAATCCACGTACAAATAGCTAAAACAATAATCAATAGATATAAAATTCCCTCTTTTTGTAGCAATAATCCGTTTTTTTCGTAACTCGGAATGTTTAGAGAAACTAACAAAATTTTTAAATTATTTACGAAATCCTTCGTCTGTATATGTGATTATTACCCATGAAATGTAACAGGATTGCTTTCTTTGCACGTTCTATGCAATTATACGCACAAAACGATTTCACGATGTTTAACAAATACTCCGATAAAATACAACTTAACAAGACTGTAGACATTTAAATAAGGTAACTTGAGCCTATAAAACGTAAATTTGCAAAAATACACCTTCAAACGCCATGCGACAGCACGAAAGAAACCTCCAGAAACACAGTGCTCTGCAGTTTCGCGTCGATGTTTTGCCACCCAGAGAGCCCTATCTCTGACCCACTGTGTTGACAACGCGCGTCTCTCTCTAAGTTACTTCCATATAATATTATTTCTATGTCTAGGGGTCATGAAATGTCAAAAAAACATGAAAGTTATTTCTTTGCTGAATATTTTTTACATTGTTAAAACATTAATGCTCAAGTATATTAGTAGGTTGGACAACCACTTAATGAAGAAGAAATAAGCTTTGCTTCATTCATTCATCTTAAAGATAAAAACATTGTATTACTTAAATCTGTTGATATTTCAATGATAGTTGAAATCTTCTTTCATCTTTCAAGAAGATTCTTAAACATGTTAGGTTTCTGTGCCACAACATTCAGTTTTTATTTACTTGAAGAGAATTATGCTTGATATACTGCTAACGAGAAAAACCGAGTAAAGATAGTAACTACATAATCACTTTTCAAATTTTCTACAAAAGACTGTCATCAACACCATAGTACAGTAATAAACCTCAATTAAAACCCAATAGTAATTCAGATACGAAATAAAACACTAGTTAGGCGACAATTTATGTAAGTTACAATCCTTACTCCAAATCTTTGATGAAAAACTAAACATGTGTGTAATTGTTACAATTGTGATTTAATGCCCCAAATTCAGCGTACTAAAGATTATAACAAATACGTTACTTTCCTAACACAATTCGAAACATCAGTCGCCACCAGCTTAGTCAAATCAAGGTCACCAGATTGAGCTGCTACGTTTGAACGTAGCAATTTTTCATAATTCCAAACAATTAAGAAAATACGGTTAATTTATTTTAAATAATAGACATGTCTCTCCGTAACAAAATTTTTTTTTGTTGTCTTATAGCTATCTTTTTCACTTTTGTTTATAATATAACAGAGAGAGCTAAGTAAAGTTTGTCCTAAAAAAATATAAAGACTTAGTTTAATTTTGTATTTTATTTTCGCTCTTTTGTAAGAATGTAAGTATCAAGTTCAAGTGACCTTGCTGGTGTCAGTTTCCTTTTGTCTCTTTTCGATAAGTTCGAAAGTATTTATTTATATCGCCGGAATTATATTTCATTCATAGTTCTAGCGCATTCCTTAAAAAAACAGACATGTTAGAAAAAGTTCCAAGCGTTAGATTTACAAAGACCTTTGTACTCAGCAAAAACAGATGGCGTGGTTCATGGACAAACGAGGATTTGATTATCATACTGACCAATAAGCGGTCACATGGAAATTCTGCTTAAGTAGAGCGTACCAATCTAGTGATCCTAAATTTAGAATTTTAGTTCTGAAAGTTAGAATTTTCGGCACAAAACGCGACTACATCGTTTAATTTAATCGTGGTAATACGGGATTCGGCTTCCAACACACATATTTTTAATTTTTCATAGGGTGTTGTTAACTGCCAACAGCAAGTTGTAACCGTCACAACAGATTCTAATTCTAAAAATTTTAATAAACAAAAATAATTTCTCGTTTCAGATCATCATTTAGCGACTTTGCCCAGAAATACGCGAAAGACGAGCGATTTAAAGGAGTTGAGAAGATGCGAGAAAGGGAGAGTCTCTTCAACGAATACTTAATTGAAGTAAGAAAACGCGAGAAAGAAGAAAAGAACCAACGCAGAGAACAGGTGAGAATACTTTTACGTGTTTCTTTGCGACCAGAAATGAAATTTAATGTCAATGCAACAACCGATCGATATTAGGACTGCTCAGAACGGGTTGTTGTATTTCATTAGACTTGCAATAGTTTGCAGTAAAGCAGCGGTTAAATTTTGTAGTGTACGTTTATTAGGCAAATTTACTGCAAGCTTATCGAATTTATATTTAATAGTTTGTTGATATATTATGTTTTTAAATTTAATTGCATTTACAAAGATAAGATGCTTAATGTACACAGTACTAAAATTATTTACAGGTTTTCAGCACTCGGTATGTAGATATTGTGTTAGATTAATTTTTTAAGGATAATTGAAAATTGTGTTTTGCCACAATTTTTTGACTGCCAGTGATTATCAGTGATATTTTGTAGTGAAAAAAGAAACAACAGTTCACTGAGCATTCAATGACTGGTACAGAATTTCAGAGATCGTTTTGTCTTAGTTTCAAATGTTTTGATGTCTATTAAGTTAAGCTTGCTGAGTGAGCTGTTGTTCATTAGTCGAATTATGACGCAATCTGTAACCAGCTACAAGCCATTTTGTTTACATAAAAAGCTCTATTATTTGGTTTGTTGTTGGTATATGATGGGTTTTCATGCCTAAATTACGTCCAACCAAGAACGTTATAACAGTATTGTAAATGATGAGTCTCTTATCCAGCTTCATTACTTTTTCAAGAGATGTGGAGTGCGGGTGAAACACAGTTACTTCCGTTACCCAAGGCTCGTGTGCGTCGTGTGAGAGAAGTCGTCCCAGGTGACACCGCTCCTTGCCGGCAATGGGGCTAATTTTTATTTAACGGTACTTAACCTACAAGTTAGTTGTTAATCTTTTAAGAACAAATTAAATACAATAATAAGTATTAGTCAAACAGTCTAATCTTGTGTACCATTAAGTGCCACTTATGCACAGACAAATCGACAAAAATGTAATTTCCAGCTAATTTCAGTGACCTGTGTGGACGGATTACTGAGGATGTCCGATTTGTAAATACATATTAAACATACTTCAAAATTGCCATTGTACCTTCTCTCTGACAACAAATTTTGAAGTATGTTTGGTACAGTCGTAGCACTTAAAGTCATCTCTTTTACAGGAATAACATAATGTATTTCTTTCAGATCATCGTTCGAGATAGGAGCGTAACTTTAAGATAATATGATAGAATAATATACAATAAACATAATTTACCGCGATTGCTGATTTCGCGGCTTGACAGAAATCGTATGTTTACAGGTGAAAAAAGACTTCTTCGCTATGCTTCGTGAACACTCGGACATAGATCGCCACTCCCATTGGGCCGACGTGAAACGCAAAGTCGATTCAGATGCCCGATATAAAGCAGTCGATTCGTCCGGTCAACGCGAAGACTGGTTTAGAGAATATTGTAAAATATTAAAAGAAGAGAAGAAGAAAGCGAAAGAAAAGGATCGTGAACACAAGCGCGACAAAGAAAAGCATAAGAAGAAAGATAAAGACAAGGACAGAGATCGTCATTCCAAAGATGAAAAAGAGAAGGATAGAGACCGTGACAAGGAAAAGTCGAAAAAAGAGGAAGATGGAGAGGCCTCGAATAAAGAAGTCGAAGAAACCGAACCAGAAGAGACCGACGATGAACGAGCTCAAGAACAAAAGGAAAAGGACAGGCAGGCTAGAGCAGAGGCCAGTTTGAGAGAAAGAGAGAAGGAAGTGCAAAGAACTCTGGCGACGCATATGAGAGACAGAGACAAAGAAAGGGAGCAGCATAAGCGAGATGAAGCCATACAGGTAAGAGAGAAAAAGTGTTTGATGGGAATGAGTTTATTGAGGGACATTTTTAGCATTTTAATGCGTTACTAGCGGATTTGGTGAGAAACCCCGAACTGAGTTGGCGGGAAGTTAAACGTATCTTGAGAAAAGATCATCGATGGGACTTGGCAGATTCTTTATCTCGAGAAGATAAAGAAAAATTGTTTAACGAACACATTGAACATTTGTTGCGAAAGAAACGAGAGAAGTTCCGGGAATTGTTGGATGAAACCCCCGAAGTTACTTTAACTAGTAGCTGGAAAGAAATCAAAAGAATAATCAAAGAAGATCCTAGATACACGAAATTTGCTTCAAGTGAAAGGGTGAGTTTTATATCAGTGAGAAATGAATTTTGAGTTACTATTTGATGTTTATTTTCAGTGTGAACGTGAATTTAAAGACTATCTTAAAGATAAATTAATTACTGCTAAAGGACAATTTAAAGAATTATTGCAGGAAACTAAACTTATTACTCATAAATCTTTGTCAAATCTTAGAGAAAATCAAGGGTTCATGCAAGAAATCGAAGATATCTTAAAGAACGATAAAAGATACTTGGTTCTCGATCACATACCGCAAGAAAGAACCCAGTTAATTTTAAATTATTTAGAGGAGCTTGATAGAAGGGGACCACCGCCACCACCAACAGCTAGTGAACCTAATAGAAGATCAATAAAATAAATAGGGTGTTATATATTTATTACTTTAAGAACGTGATTGACGTATGTTGTGTACTTTATTAATTAAAATAATTCCAGTTTGTAATCATAGAGCTTCTGAACTGATAATGTTGTACAATTTTTATTTTATACTGTAATAGCAAAATATTAATACACATATTTAAACTTGATGGTTTTTTATGAGAAGTAAGTAAAAGAACGAAGAGATTTTTGGTTCGCTGTGGAGCAACATTTGTTGTTGGAGTTTGAAAGAATCCTTTGATATGCGACTAAACTTGTAATCGTCATTTATAACAATGGAGATAGAGTGAGAGGAGGAAGCATGCCTCATTGAACCAATGTTAAAGAAACGCTGGCGCCATATACGTGAACAGATAAAATGACATCCTGTATGTCCCTTTCCGTACCACATCGGGGGCGGTCTGTCAAAAACAGGATCCGAGGCGATGCTATTTGGTTTAAAATGGCTTCATACGAAGTAAAAATGTCTTACTATTTGCTTAATTATGGTATAAAAACAAACATGTTTCTAGCAACATAAACATTCAAATAAATTTAACTAATACCAATTTTGTATTCTATCTTATTAATCATATTAAATTATTTTTGTATTATATGCCGAGTACCCGGCACACGCTTTCCAGCACAACCACTTTCTGGAAGGAACTGGATTATGACCCCAGTCGAAAGCACAGTACCAGGCACTTTTTCATTGTATCTTCCCGCCTTTCATTCCACCTCCAAGCACAGTATAGATATCAAAATATTATAGATATTGATATCTATACTGTGCTCCAAGCATCTAATTTTTCGTCTTAGTCATAGGCAACCAATAATTCTACGGAGTATTACAAAAATGTCATTGTTTATTTTTAACTGACATAAAACCAGTTTATTTTCTTCTTCATTTCGTTTTGTATTTGTACATATATTGTTACGAAATAAACCCATACGACGCCTATGGGTTGTGGTTAGCCTAGAAGACCTTCGAGAAGAATCGCGCGGCTGCTTAAATGGGAACCACAGTCGGGAAGAATTAGTGTAGTCCAGGCAACGAGAGCTGAATTCAGTTAACAAGTCGAGTCCAACGAGTGTCGAGAAAACCCAGTGAATGTTGCGCCGGAATTATTTTGTGCATAATGGCTCTGTAATTAGTCGCGTAAATCCATGTTACTAAGAAATAAATTGTTGAGTTTAACCCATGTCGATTTTAAATACCCATTTATCGTAATAATATGTATATTAAGCCAATTAATTTAAGTTAATTCTCTGTTTTCGATTCTATTTCTTTTAGACCATTATTTGGATTTTTTGGTTCATAATTATCTGGATCAACTTATTTATACAGGATGCCGGATCCATGGTAGAAGGAGACATGGTATGGGCATCCGATGTACCAATTTAAAAATGGTCTGCGCATCCATTTGTGACGTTAGGTGGCATCAACGACCTTGTGATTCTTATGAGCTTCGCTAGGGAAGTCTAGGGAATTTCAGCTTGAGTTGTCATTGCTCTGTCCAATACGTCAATTAGTTGTCGGATAACGAATTGTATTTTAAATTTCGCGCTAATTTCACCCCACTTGACGTCACACCTGATGCGTATGCCTATACCATGTCTCCTTCTACCATGGCCGGATCCAAGTTGGGGCATGGGAATTATGGAATTAACGTGGCGAATTGGTTTTTATTTTATAATATCTTACCAGATCACTTTAAAGCTATTATTGGGTGATGCATTTATGGAGGTAAAGGAGGGCTAGTGGCCAGTATTTTTTTCAAATCGTTGCACCTCGTCCACTCTCTATAAAAAGGCTTTAAAAATCGTATTTTGAAATTGGCGCTCGGTCCGATTTGTCGCGAAACGTTCCGTCTTATTTCGACGATCGCGTCTTTGGATTAGCCATGGAAAATCGAAATATTAAAGTGAAATTAGAAATTATTCCTCGATTCTCACTCAGAAATCATGATAATTATTGTAGGACAAATTAAACCAGGCCGTATCCTCGAGGCCCGATATGAAGCCCTTCGAGCAGCTCGTCTTCCTCAACATCTCCATCAGCAGCATCATGATACGTCTAGTTAGGGATTTACTCACACTACCTCAGTCAATAATCACGTACTGAATAACTCAAATTGAATTATTTTATTGAGTGTAATGATTTTTGTAGAACAATTTAAACGCAATAAATGCACAAACTGCACAAAATATTTTATGCGGTTATTGACCCTTTTCCTGTAAGCAAAGTGAGTAGACATTATATAAATTCCAATGATACAGAGTGAGATAACATCGCGCAGGCGAAGTCAGATTTTTGGAGCGCCAAGTTAAAATTAACCAATGAGCGATAGATTACGCATGTGTAGCTGGTTGCATTCTGTCAAAGCGGTTTGTTGTCACAGGCCTTTGCTCTGCTGCCGGAGTGCCGGATACGTGGTTTTGAAGATGCGTGCGCATGGAAAGTCACTATGGAAGTTTTACGATCTTACAGGAAAAGGGTCAATTGACGGAACCTCTTCCTATCCCGAACGATTCAGTGATAATGACGCGGGACACAGTTGTATTGAAACCATAAATTTGTTCATTGTTCAAGTTTCTAAATCCACATTTTCTAGCAGTAGTGGTAAAGCATTTCTAAGAAAATGCAAAGGACCAACAATCTGATTAACACCACCGTTATCAGAAAACGTAGTCTCATTGGAGAAAAAGACATTATTATAAGAATAAGAATTCAATTCAAAATTTGTTTTTCTTAAAATAAATTACAAAATTCCAGTCTTTTGGGATAATCTGTTGCATCAAAGTCACAACAAGGCATGGATTGAATTTATTGTCTTTAATTATTCTACGTGCCGAAGATTGACTAATACCGGTTGCGAGCATATTTTATTCTGACTGACATGAGAATTATCGTCAGTCATTTCCACCACAGCAATTTCATATTTTGGGCTCGTAGTTTTCTTTTCAGGGGTGTCCAATTTTCTCTTAAAATACTTTCAAAATCGTATCCATAGGAGCTCGTCTATCAGGAACTTTGTCTGTATAGACGAGTAGTGGCTGAAACATTTTTTTCTGCATTCGCCCTAAATCACTATCCAATCCACTTTCCCGCCATTTCAGTACAATTTGACAAATTTAATTTTACCAAGTCAAATTGAAAGAAAAGGTATTGTGAATTCATAGTATAATCAAACTTCATCAACATCAACTTTAATCAAATAAAAAACTTTTTGAATAAATAGCCTATCATGAATACTGGAAACAACAAACATTATTGACCACATCCCACGCAACACGCAACACAATAAATGTTTTTTTTTTATCGAAGTTAAACAAATAATTTACAAACACTCAAGGCATCAAGGAAGTTCAACGGGTTCTGTATATATTGTTCGTGTCTGTTATAGAACCTCCCAGAGATATAATAGCGGTACATAAAGCGAAAATTGAGAATCAAAATAAAATAAAAAAACTGGTCTAAAGAGTTTAGACAGTACTTCCCTCGCTGTCGGAAATGTGACGACTGCATGCCTATTATGTTTTTTTTTCGCAGTAGATTTCAAAGCATTCGGTTTTGTAGTTCCTGAGTAAACCAATAAACCAAACTTACGCATTCATTTTTTTTTGAGTCACCCGGTATATGCAAATTGAAAAAATATGAATGGAATGATAAATTGCAAGTAGACTCATCATATTTTGTATATTCTAGATAGGATTTATTCGGCAAACTTTTGAGCTGACGTCATCAGTTTTTTGGAGAAGATAACCAAATATATTTTGACTAAAAATTTATTACGCTCTTTATAACCTTAAAACATCTGCAAGATTTCAAAACATTAGGGTCTGTAGTTCCTGATTAAATCAATAAAATACATTTACGCATTTCTTATTTTTTTGGGTTACCCTGTATATTCAAATCCAAAAAATATGAATGGAATGATAAATCACAAGAAGAGACTCATCATATTTTGTGCATTTTAGATACGATTTATTCAGCAAAATTTTGTGGTGACGTCATAAATTTTTTAGGGGGATGAGGAAATACATTTTGATCAAAAACTTACTATGCTTATGATAACTTTAAAACATCTTCAAGATTTCAAAGCATTCGGTTTTATAGTTTCTGAGTAAATCAATAAAATAAATTTAAGCATTCATTAATATTTTTGAGTCACCCTGTATATGCAAATCCCAAAAATATGAATGGAGTGATAAACCACAAGTCCAGACTCATCATTTTTTGTGCAGTTTAGATAGGATTTATTCGGCAAACTTTCGAGCTGACGTCATGAATTTTTTGGAGGGGATAAACAAATATATTTTGACTAAACATTTATTATGCTCTTTATAACCTTAAAATATCTGCAAGATTTCAAAGCATTCGGTTTTGTATTTCCTGATTAATTCAATAAAATAAATTCACGCATTCATTAATTTTTTTGAGTCACCCTGTATATGCAAATCGAAAAAATTTGAATGGAATGATAAATCACAAGAAGAGACTCACCATATTTTGTACATTTTAGATAGAATTTATCCAGCAAAATTTTGTGGTGACGTCATACATTTTTTAGGGGGGACTATTATGTGTAGGACTATGTTCTTTTATACAATTTAAAACCCATTTACATTTACTATGTACAATTTTGAAGTGACGTCATCGCATTAGTGGTGGGGATGACTAGACAAATTTTGGTTAGCGTTTTACCGTCTACATGATATTCCTAATATAAGTACAAAATTTCACAACAATCGGTCCAGTACTTTCGGAGATTATCTGTCTAATAAAAATCCGGGACGGCAGACAGACGGACAGACGGATAGACAGACGGAAATGACAGACCTATTTCTTTTTTTCGTCTTTTTTTTCGTCTTCTAGGGGTCATGAAAGATCGAGAAAACGTAAAAGTAGAGAGTTGGCCGATGGACTCGATTACAATACTTCTTTGCTTACGCTCGGGAAGTAAAAAGGGTTACTTTTTCCTTCAAAACCACGCATATCCAGGGGTAATCATACTACACATTACATATAAACCTCAAAAATCACTGCGTTACAAACACAGTTTTAAGGAGGAAAATATTACGAGAACAGTAATAAATTTTACCCCAAACCTCCCGCCAAAGTGAGATATGTGGAGAATTTTAAAACCCGCGGAAAATTTAAATCT